CCCCGCCCATCTCTCCCTACCTCCGATCTCTTGGGAACATACAATCCTGCCGGTAGGAGTATGGGGAGTCCCTGGCTGTATACTCAGAGGTCCAGGTGGGAAAGGGCATGTTAACTGCCTTCTGGAGTCTGAGGCATGCCACCTCCTTGCCATTAAAAAGGTGGAGGGCACACCCTATCCTCCTCCAGGGTTGGTAGTAATAGGGCATCCTGGCGTTTGGTGTCTGGGGGAAACACATTGCCATGAAGAGTCAAGGGGGAACCTGGCCTTGCTCTTTAGGGTTGGGGGGTGGGGGACATGGTCCTGACGTGGGGAGCTCTGGTTCATTCATTCATTCAGTAGATATTTATTGATCACGTGTCAAGCATGCTGCCCAGGATACAGGGTCCCTCCCTGCCTTGGTGGAGACACGCATGAGCCTAGTGGTGGAGGTGGGCACTAACTAATCAAATCATCTCATATGATTGTAAAATGGGTGAAAAGAAGTGTATGCTACTCTCTATCCATATACAGGGCTTGTCACATCTCTGCATCTTTGTATAATTCATTCTCCTGCCGCCTCAGAATCCCAAATTCCTTCAGTTTTTTCGAAAGACTTCCCCGAAGAGGCCAAACACGTCGGGATAGGACTCCGGGACGTCTCGGAATTGTTTAGGTGCCCCCCGCTTAGGTGCTGGGATCCAGGGTACAAAGAGAAGACTAGGAAGAGGAAGCGAGGTTAGAGTTCGGGCCTCCTCTTTCCCAAGCAAGAAGCCGTGGGCCGGGCTCCTGGCGGTCTCGCCTTCTGTTAGGCTGCGGACAGTGGGCAAGGTAGTAAGGCAAGGAGCCCTGGCTGTAGTGGAGTTTAAGATACCAAGAGGGCTCTAGGAGTCCCACCTGCGATTTGTCAGTAGAACAAATTGGAAACATCTCCTGACTGCATTTCTGGGCAGAGCTTCAGAATGGTCCACCACGGGCTTGGCAGACAAAGACTACGGCGGGCGGGACTTTGAGTGGGAAGACCTTGGCGTTGATCCCGGGCCTGCTTTAGATGATTTGCGGCGGGGGACGGGACATCAGGCGGGCTCGCCTTCTGGTTGGCTGAGGCTGGAGGTGGGCGGACTTTAGGAGGGAAGGGCGTGTCAGTTCCTCCCAGCTGGAGGCGGTATTTAGGCTTTCCGGGCAGAAGTGAGATTCTGCACCTGTACCGGCTACACTCTGTTGACTCCCGCACTTTATTCTCGGCTGAGTTGGGGTCTTCCCTGCAGAGGTGCGCGATGCAGAGGTGCGCGATGCACAGGCTGCAGGTGGTGCTGCACCACCTAAAAGCCCAGACTGTTCCGGCCAGGCAGCTTCAGGTCTGGAGTGGCGCGCAGCAGGTGTCGGCCGATGATGTGGTGGTGGTGCACGGACGGCGTACGGCCATTACCCGAGGGGGCCGCGGCGGCTTCAAGGTGAGGCCATGGGTCTGGGCACCGGGGCGGCCCGGGGTGGGTAGGGTTCTGGCTCTTCTGCTCGGTTCCCCTCGACGCCGGAGGTGGCTCCGCGCCGGAACTGTGACTGCTCTGTCTCTCTGGAGTGGGAACGGGGAGAGCGTGTGTCGTGACACTTCGTGCACCGCGGGGCAGGGGATCACCGCTGCGGCTCTTCCCGCTGCAGGACACCACTCCCGACGAACTTCTCTCGGCCGTCTTGACTGCGGTTCTCCAGGATGTCAAGCTGAGCCCGACCCAACTGGGAGACATCTGCGTAGGTGAGCACTCTACCCAGGCTCTGCGCTCGATCCTCTTACCCTTCCCATCCTGCCAAAGCCCTCCTCAAACACCTCCCCACCCGCCAGGCACTTTCCAGGTGTTTTCACTGAGAAAAATGTTTATGGGCCAAGCTGTTGAATTTGTCTCGTTAGGGCTAGACTCCGTCTCCGCCTCCACGCACTTTCTGTGCCCCTCCAAGCACATTCTACATGTGAACTATGATACAAAGCCAAGGGCTCTCAAGTGACAGCAATACCAAGGCACTTGGCACAGGGGTTTGAGGATACCCTAGGAGACAGGAGACTATAGGATTCTCTATCGATTCTGACACCCTGACAGAAGGAGCATCAAAAACCATCTAATCCAATCCCTCACAGATAAGCTGAGGTCTGGGGAATTTGCAGCAGAGCAAATTGGACCTGAATACCAGGGCTCTTGACCTTCAGTCCAGTTCTTTCTCTCCATCTGTAGTCTTCTAGCCTCAAAACATAACAACATAATGTGGTGAGAATCTTATCAAGTACTGTAGGTGCCACCCCTAGGTGGGGAATCACTGCTCCACCTAAGGAGCAACAGCAAAGATTGGTGGACACTCAGGGGTAGGTGTGCATTTTCAGAAACTCATTTCCCTGATAGAACCAGTTCCTTACACTTCAAGCTGAGCATTGCATTCTTTCCCTGTTACCTTTAAAGGCAGGCCAGCTGCCCAGTGGGTGCTGATTTGGAACGGCAGGGTGCATGGACAAGGGAACTTGGGACCTTGCTCCAGACCTTGAAATTCCAGAGCCTCAGTGAGCCTCCTGAGGGCTCGTGTTTCGGAAGAAAGATCTGGACTATCCCCTCTCTGGTATTCACAGCAGTACCTTAATGTCCAGACCACCACCTGACACTAAATAAAAGTTTGTTGTCCACAGGAAATGTGCTTCAGCCAGGGGCTGGGGCAATGATGGCCCGAATCGCCCAGTTTCTGAGGTAAACTTTTCTGGTTCTAGCTCTGGGTTGGCCATTTTGACTCTTAGTTGGGCTCAGGCCTCAGGGAATTCAGACTGTGGGTGAGAGACCATCAGGTTGGACACCAGACCTGGAGACAGCCACAGTCCTCTCCACTCACTCTCATGACCTTCACCTTTGCTCTAATTTGAAGAGATGAAGTGTTACCTGGCACTGAGCCAAAAGGCCTTTAAAACTGGAGCAAAAGGTCTCTATGACCTGATTTTTAGCCACAGTCAGCTTGTTGCTTTGCTTTTTGTGAAGTACGAGATAAACTCTGTTCTCTTTCTCCAGGTAATCAACTTAGTAGAGTAAGAGGATCCTCGTGGCCTAATCAGCCTTCTCTTGCCTTTGGGCTCTATTTGGCCTTAGTTGAGGAGAATTGCAGGATGGAGAAAGGCATGTGCTTGTGGGACGCTGGGGAGCAAGTGTCTGTAGAGTTGGGGTCTGCCCAGTATGGATCTGGCCTGAAGTGGGGTCAGGGCTGCTGGGTTTGTTCCTCTGGACTTTGCACCCCCTGATGGGGCATTCATATTGGCCAGGAACACAGCCCTGCTTTCTATGAGAGCCTGGCACAGGGGAGGGGGCTAACTCTGTGGTCTCATCTTCTGTTTCAGTGACATCCCAGAGACTGTACCTTTGTTCACTGTCAATAGACAGTGTTCTTCGGGGCTCCAGGCAGTGATCAGCATAGCTAGTAAGTTGTAACTGGATGGGTGCCTATCGCTACAGCCTGGCCTTGGTCTTGGCTCCGTGAATTTGGGTCAGCAAAATCAATATCTACTGGGCAAGCAATAAGTATTTCTGAGAGGACTCTAACTACAGGAAGAGAAGGAGAACCTCTTGCTGCTACCCCCAGCCTTTTCTGGATACTTCTGGGTCTTCCCTCTCTGAGAACTTAGAGACCAGGTGGGGAAGAGGCTCCCCTATTCCCAGGACAGACTGTTGAAGGATGTTTATGAAATGCTTTTGTTGCAGGTGGCATCAGAAATGGGTATTATGACATTGGCATGGCTTGTGGGTAAGAATTTCTTTCTGCCAGTACTAACCAGCTTGTAACAAGAAAACTAATGTTCACCTCCTGAGTTCTCAGAGGCCATGATTTCAGGGTTCTGCCTCCTTTAGGATTAGCCCTTTTAGGCAGCTGGCTAGGCGAGGTTTCTTACAAATTCAGCTTAGAAAGAGCCCCCAGCTCTGGCTTCTCAGAAATTGCACTAATGCAATCACACATCTCAGCACTAATGGAGAAACGAAGTTGGCTTTTAAAAGCTTTGTGATAGGCTGGAAAATGTGGGCAAGCATTATGAGAAAATATAGGTCTTAGGTTTCTTTCTGTGGCCCCAACTGATTCACGATCCTGCTGAGACAGAAGATGCAGTTTTGGTTCCCTAAAGCCAGGAACAGCTGTCTACTGTATAACTAGTTTACTCTTTTTGTTAGGCTGTCTGGCCCCTTGTCTCCCCACCCTGGTACCAAGGTGGAAACTTCTGGCTGCCTACTGGTTTCTGAGGAGCATGGTCAGATCTGTGGTGGTTTGGTCACTGTCAGCTGCGGCTCCATCTTCGGCTGCAGCATATGGAGCTGCAGAAGTTGTATTGGACAGTGCCTTTGGAAAGGTACAGGGCACTGGGGCACAGGCTCAGGCAGGCACATGGTGCTGGGCAGGCAGGCCAGGTGAAGACTTTGGCAGGCCCGGGACGGTGGGGCAAGGTGAGCAGCTCACAACCTGCTCTTTGATCGAGCTCTCATGTCCCTTTAGCTTAGTGGGGGAGGCGGGGTATGAATAACTGGAGGAAAAGGCTGGAGCCTTCATGAGTTTCTTAGAGGGCATCTGAGGTCCCCAAACAGGTTAAAGACCATGTTACTAGGGTATTAAAGGTCTGGGCCAGGACTGTCCCCATCACAGGCCGACTGTCCCCCGTAGGCTTTGATCATGAAAAGTAACCCTGGGCATCCTATTTGGGAGTGGGCTTTGGGGCCAGACTACCTAAATTTGGATCCTGGCCGAGTGGCCGTGGACAAGTTACTCAGCCTCTCTGGGCCTCAGTGTCCTCATCTATAAAATGGAAATGACTACCTTAGCCATGTTGTAGTTGAAAAGATTAAATGGAGTGATAATAACAGCTAACACTCTAGGGTATGTATCATGTGACTGTTTGAAGCATTTTAATACCTGAAAAGATTTTGAAATAACACTGGACATATGAAAAGCATTTGGTCAAGGTTTTGTTATCATCCCTTGAGGCCTTACATTCCCCCACCTCCTCAAAGCCCTTTTTGACCACATAAACTGAGATCTCACCTTCCTCACAGCTCGTAGCACCTCCTTGTCTATGCAGGTCACATGGCTCTTTGATCTGCAGCTTTTAAAATATTTGTCTCTTCTCTGAATTTGTGGTCCCTGAGGGCAGTGCCTAGGCTTGTTGGATGTATTTCCCCCTCTGTGGCTGAACACTAGGCTGATGGGCTACAGGAACAGCTTTGTTAGGTCCCTGCCCAGGGGTGTGGACTGTGCAGTGCTCTGTCCTGAGATAGGGTGGAGGTAGAGTTGGGGCTCAGCAGCCCTGTACCCCTAGCTCTGCTTTGCTAGCCAGTGCCCTGCCTGGGGCTCCCTGGCTATTAACCAGCACTCGCCAGATACACAGCTATCCCTGGGGGAGTCTTGCTGTTTACTGCCACCTCCTTTCCCTCCTCCTCCTCAGGGTGGAGTCCATGACCCTGGGTGACAGAATGAACGTTGGAAATATTACTTCACACTTGGAGAAGAAGAACGCCAGAGATTGCCTGATTCCTATGGGGTCAGTGTCCAGCTGTAGCTTTGTGTGCATGTGCCTCCTTGGCTCCCTGGCCTCCTGCTTTCGGGCTTGGTCTGTTCTGCAGCGGCTCAAAGAATGAGAATTGATGCTGCCCCTTTCCTGAGGTCCCACCATGGGGGGCTCAGTCACACAGGGATGATGGCAGCTACACTCTGAAGCCTTGGAGGCCTAGAAAGTTGGTTACCAAACATGTTGGTGAGGGAACTTGGGCCCTGTCAGACGCAACATCGAAAGTGTGTTGTGTTTGCTGCCGGTGTCACTGAGCTTCTGGCCCTCTCCCAGGGTCTGTGGGCAAGGAGTCTGGCTCCACTTGAGGCTGGGAGAGGGGCCCTGACTGCCTCCACATCTAGTGACTGTATTTCCAGGGGAAGCCTGAAAGCTAGAAGCCCAGGCTGGAAAGCTTAGCTGTGGCTCTTGGCTCCTGGTGAGGGTCAGCTCCAGCCACAGTGAGCAGAAGGACTGGGTGTGGCCTTCCTGGAAGGGACTTGGGAGTCCTAACCTCTCACGTTGAAGCAGTTTTCCTGAGGTGTAGGAGAAGCTGGCCAAGAAAGACCAGTTAGTGCCACCAGCCTACCCTCATTGTCTCCTCTTCTGGTCTCTGCCGTAGAAGCTTCTTAAGATCTGGGTGACTCTGTCTGTGCCTTGAGTCTTCACTATTGTCTGTGTGGCACGGACTGGCCCTCCCGTCCTTCACTGCCTACAGGCTCAGGGCCCAGAGTTCCGAGCACAACTCCACAGCCTGGCCAGTCCCCAGGCTGTGAGGCTTCTCCTACAGTTTGTTGTCTGTCTTCTAGGATCACCTCGGAGAACGTAGCTGAGCGGTTTGGCATTTCACGGGAGAAGCAGGATAGCTTTGCTCTGGCTTCCCAGCAAAAGTGAGTGCTCCATGGGGCGGGGTATTTGAGGGGTAGGGGAACGAGGCTTCTAGGATGACCTCAGTGGTCTCAGGTGGAGCTGTCCTTAGGCTACAGCAGGGCAGCTTGTGCCTCCCAGGACGGAGAGGTGAGCAGGGGCCAGGGCCACCGTGCATTGTTAGCACTTCCCTGTCCTACCACTGTTTGTTCGCCGTTGAGTGTCTTCTCCCTAGTGGGCCTCGGTTTCCTCTTCTATTCACTGGTGGGTCGGGGGTGGGTATGGGGAAGGTGTAATGAAGGCCAGGTGTCTTCTCTAACTGCTGTGGCCCGGTGATTAGACATGGTATAGCCACAGGCTCCTCTGGGTGGCCTGGAGTGTGGGGCCAGCACTGCTGGGGACCCTGGCATCCAGTTTCTGGACCACTCCTGCATCTGGGGTAGCATCCTGAGATAGGGGCTGGGGATGACAGCAGAGGAATCCCAGGGGCTCAGGCCTCTGGGCAGGAGCAGGCTGAAGTTAGCAAGCCCCAGCTGTGCAGAGAGAGGACAGCAAAGGAAGAGTGTCATATCCGGCCAGGTGGGCTTCTCTGAGGCAGTGGTTCTTAGCCACTTGGGGTTAAGTAACCATTTGAGAATTTGATGAAAGCTGTGGGTTCCTCCCATGAAAATGCCCTGGGTACATAACATTGTGCATATGATTACAAGGATCACCCTAAATGCCTTGGGATTTTACACTTTCAATATTAAGCTCCATGAGTAGTTTGTCATTTTAAATAAGCAAAAACTAAGGAACAGATGAAGAAGAGCTGTTGGGATCAAACAGAAAAGTTGGTAGAACCCAGCACAAATGTCCATGGGGTTCCATCCTCAGTTTGGCATGGAGAGCTGACAGGCTTAGTCTCTCTTGGGTATGGGCTCAGAGGGGAGCCACCACCCCATGCTTCTTCCTTCCAGTCCAGGTTGGGGTTGGCCGGGATAGGAAGGTCTGAGGCTGATGGTGAAGACCTTTACGCCTCCCACTGGTAGTGGGGAACCTACGCTAGTCCCTCAGAGGTCCCCCAAGGCAAGTGTGTCCCAGCATTTGGCAGTCTGAGCTCGTGGGCAGAGGGTGGAGGCAGCAGAGGGACCCGAGGAAGGAAGGGAACTCCAAGAGAGCCTGAGCCTGGCTGTCTATCTGCTGGCAGGGCTGCCAGAGCCCAGAGCAAGGGCTGTTTCCAAGCTGAGATTGTGCCTGTGACCACCACAGTCTGCGATGACAAGGGCACCGAGAGGAGTATTACCGTGACCGAGGATGAGGGCATCCGCCCCAACACCAGCATGGAGGCTCTGGCCAAACTGAAGCCTGCCTTCAAGGAGGGCGGCTCTACCACGGCTGGTGAGACTGGGCTGTGGGAGGCGAGAGGAAGGAGCTGTGTCCATGCTGGGCATTCTCTGGGAGTCTGGAGCCACCAGGCAAGGTGGACATGGGAAGGCCGGACCTGTTCAGCCCTGCTCTGAGGTCTCCTTACCCCTGTGATTTGCCTCTAGGAAACTCTAGCCAGGTGAGTGATGGGGCAGCTGCCATCCTAATGGCCCGGAGGTCCAAGGCAGAAGAGTTGGGCCTTCCCATCCTTGGGTTGCTGAGGTCCTATGCAGTGGTCGGGGTCCCGCCTGACATCATGGGCATTGGACCTGCCTATGCCATCCCTGTAGCCTTGCAAAAAGCAGGTAAGGCGGCTCCTTCAAACCCTCAATCTAGATCCCGCTTCTGCCTCTCATGCTGTCGCCAGAGGCGGGTGGTCCTGTGGGTACTACAGAGTAAAGGTGGGGCAGACTAGCACCCCTGCCCCCACCCCTTCCTGCCCACAGCTGGGACCCTGTCCTCAGGAACAGAGATAAGATACTCCAGTCAGGCTACAGGCCAGGTGTGGGGTAGGGCCTTGGGGGACTGAAAGGCCTACTAAGGGTGAGGAGCCACTGGGTCAGCTCAGGTCCTTCACTGTTGCCCACAGGGCTGACACAGAGTGACGTGGACATTTTTGAGATCAATGAGGCCTTTGCAAGCCAGGTGAGCCTTTGTTTCTCAGCACGGCCTGGGCCGCCCAGTTGGAGCCCGTGGTACAGGGGAGGGAGCTACAGCTGGTGCTCTGCCTTCCTTCAGGTGGTCTACTGTGTGGAGAAGCTGGGCCTCCCCCTGGAGAAGGTGAACCCCCTGGGGGGTGCTGTGGCCCTGGGCCACCCCCTGGGCTGCACTGGGGCTCGACAGGTCATCACGCTGCTGAATGAGCTGAGACGCCGCCAGAAGCAGTAAGGCTGGTCCCCACGGGGTGTCGTGGGAGGCGTCCCAGCCGGGGCACCTGAGGGGACAGGGGGACGTACACACATGCTCTGAGGATGCAGGGGTGTGACCCCGTTTTCCGAGGGCCAACCGTGAAGGGGACCCTGGCCTGCAGTAGGCACCAAGCGTGTGCCTAGGTGGGCACCCAGGGGACGGATGCCCGTACATTGTGCCTTCTGCATCCATGAAGGCCTTGGTCTGTCCACCTCAGCCTGATCTGGGAGAGCTCAGGTGGGCGGGGGGCTCTGTCCTCTGTTGCCTTCACCCAGCCAGCACAGTGTCGCTTCCACAGGGCATATGGGGTGGTGTCTATGTGCGTGGGGACTGGAATGGGAGCCGCTGCGGTCTTCGAATACCCTGGACACTGAGCGAGGTGCTACCCAGACAGTCCTGCCCCAGTGGACAGAAAGCAACACTATGGAGACGATGCCACATGGGAAAATTCAGCACTGCTAGTGGGCCTCATCGATGAGCAGCAAGCTTAGTAAATGTGGATTCGCTTCTCTTGGTGGCTGTGGTTTATCCCAGGGGCCAGTTCTCGCCATGCTGGTCTTGCCTCTGCTCGATCTGAGTACTGCTTCTTAATTGCCATGGTCTTCACGGTAGTGTGACTTGTCCTTTATATTAGCTCTGAGGCCATCACATGCAGGGCCCAGGTTGAGACCAGTGCCCTGGAAGCGGGGGATCCCCCATCCCAGGAGCGGCTCACAGGTCCTCCAGTGTGTGCCATGATTCTTTAGCTCTAGGCCATGTTTATTTCCAAAGCTGGGAGGCCGAGGCAGAGCCTCAGAGGTGGTACAGTGACACATATCTCTCGTCATAAGAGCCTTGGCCACGGAGCCGCAGGGTGCAGGCCTTCTCACCCAGCACACCTTCCACTACCAGCGTGGACTCGTACAGCTCCCTGCTCCTGTGGGCCATTGGGGCTGAGGTTAGGAGGACACCGGGGCCTGTGGGCAGTGACGGGGAGGTTGGAAGGGGCTGTACCTGGCAGTGAAGAGAATCTGCAGGGTAACAGAGGTTGGGGGTGCATTGACCGGTCGCGCCTCCAGCACTCCACTGCTTGGGGAGACCCCGAAGGCCACAGGGTCCTTGTCTGGCTCCTGCTGGCCTGCACCGAGGGTAAGGGAGCACACTCAAGGGCAGGCAGCTCCAGGTGCTGCCCTAGGAAGTTCTCTCCCCCCATCTCTGGAGGGCAGCCACGGAGATCACTTAGGATTGGGAACTGGCCACCTCTGCAGGGATTCCCAGGTGGTACCAGCCCTGGGGAGCCAGCCTGCAGGGACAGGGCACAGAGGCCCTTTCCTGGGGCTCCTGGCCCAGCCACACAGTGGGGCATGACATACCCATCAGCACAGTCCAGTAGCTCCGGCAGCTGCTCAGGTTCATCAGGTACACCTCCCGGACCCGCCCCTCGTTCACAAAGCAGGTCCCAAAGTCCACCCAGCTAGTGGAGAGCTGCAGCTCGGGCACGGCCACAGTGGCCCGCAGGGGCACCACCTATGGGGACAGAGCCTTTAACTTGATGGGGACCGGGCGACCTTGCCCACTCCTGCTGGGCTCTGAGCCAGGGTCTCAGGGACACATGGGCCCTGCTGACTCTGAATAGTGACATTTCTGAGGAGCACACAAGTAGCACCATGGTGGGTGGAAGGGGGCCGGCACCGCCATCTAAAGCCAGAGGCTGCTTGCGGGATTCTGTGCAAATAGAGGTTCCGGGAAGATGCCATCTGCGCCCCCCGCCACTCTTGCCCTCATCAAGCTCTGGTTTCTGCTCCATGGTCAAGCAGCCTTCCTCCCCGCTCCCACAGGGTCCCCAAGGCCCAGCCCTGTGTTCCTTGGGCACTGGGCTATCCTGCCTTTTCTCTTAATGTCAGGCCCCGCCATACATACCTAATCACCTCAGCCTCCCCAACTGCTGGGTGCCAGCAGCTCAGTACCAAGCTCGAGGGCCTGCCTGGCTCTAGCGCTCAGATCCTTCCTTCTGCCTCTCTGGAATCCATCCCCTAGGTCATTCTTCCATGTTC